CTGCCGCTCCGCCCCTTTCCCCCCCGCCGCCACCACCTCCGGGCTGCGCCCGGCCGGCCTTCGCCATGCACGCCGGGCTATGGCGGACCTGCTGCTACCTGGACATCGCTGCTACCTGGACATCGACTCCCGCCTCGACAGCCTCGTCCGGAGGCGCGAGCGGCGCTGCCGGTTCGGGCCCCCCAGGGTTCAGCCCCTGTGCGTGCAGCCGAGGACTCAAAAAACCAGCCCCGAGTACGTTCACCGGGATCCCCCCCACAAAAGGCAGCCCGAGCATGCAGCCGGCACCCCCCAGAGCCAGCCCCTTGGCACGGTAACCGTGATCCATCCCCGGAGCCCATGTATGCAGCTGAGGACCCGCAAATTCACCAGCCCCTGTGCATGCAGCTGGGGACCCCTCCTCAGAGCCAGCCCCTCTGTGCATGCAGCTGGGGGCCCTTGCAGCAGCCGGAGCCCAAGGATGCCCCACATGCTGTCCCCATGCACCAGGGACCACCTCCCCTCTCCCCTGGTGCCCAGCCTCTGGTCTCTAGCTTGGGACAGGGCATGTCCCCGCACCTCAGTGCGTGGGAACCCAACACTCCCTGCGCTAGTGCACAAAACTAGGAACCTGTTGGGATCCCAGCATTGCCCAGTTGCCCAGTCTCTGGTGCCAGCTCCCACAGGAGCTCCTGGGGCCCTTGCTGGCTCCTGCAGGTATCTGTCCTTCCCCAGCAGGGCATGGGAACCACGCGCTACGGATGTCCCCACATCTCCACCCTGGGGTGCACCTGCCAGTCCCCTGCACCACTGGCGCAGCATCTGTCCATCCAACGCACCCATCCAACGCGCCCTAGCTGGACGTCTTCCCCTCATCCGCAGGACCGCTCCTCTTGTGACTTTTTGGTGTTGTGCATGCCCCCACAGGATAAAGTGTGCATCTCCTTTCACACCAGTGCTGCCAATCCCACTTCCATTCCCATCTTGCACACAGGTTTCCAGCATAGAGGAGGCATGTGGGTGCTTGCCTCCATCCCCGGCCATGCCCCCCACCCTCTCTGTGCAGGGAACAAGTGCTAGACAACTGTGGGAACACTTCTCCCCAGATGTGCAACCCCTGGAGCATCGTTCTGCAGTGTGTGGGTCCTAGGGCACCTCCTGGGCTCTGTACCCGTGAACCAGGCACGGCTTTTCCTACCACACTTCTGCTGCCAGTGACTGATGGGTGAAATAAAAAAAGTGGGACAAGACAGACTTTGGGCACAAAGATGCACCGTCTGCTCGCCGCCCCTGCCTGCCTTGCCAAGGATGTTGGCATGGGGGAACCTCCTCTCTGCTGAGAAGGTGCATTGTGATGGGGAGCTGGGCATGGCCCCATTTCCATGTGTGATTATCAGAGCAGAGAAGGAGCTGAGGGGGTTGAGCTCTGGCAGGTGTAGCAGTGATGGCTGTGAAATTGCATAGTGTCTGTCCATGCATTTGTCCCTCCAGCTGCCCTGGGCCGTGCATCCCTGTCCTTGGCTTCATTTTTATGACTTTTGCTCTCACAATTAAAACAGTTTCAAACCTGCCAGAATCAGATTCAGGCCACTGTGATTTTTCCTGGCGCATGACAGGTTTTTTGGGTGCACTGTGCTGCTTTCTGCCGTGGAAGAACCAGGACAGGGAGCAGGCATAGATTAGCCGGACAGGGCTGCCACAGATGCTCTGAGAGCTGATCCAAGGGGGCTGGGCTCTGTGACAAGTTCGGGAGTAGCAGCAGCTCTGAATGAGTTACAGAAGGAAATGCCAGGGAGTTTGAATTCTGTCCGGAAAGGCTAACAGACATCCTGCTGGGAAACACCGATAACCTCGTCACCCGCCTGCTCTTGCCTCTCAGTCTTCATTTTTATCTCATTAGAGGGGAAATGGGTTATAGTTGTTCCCATGTTATGTTCTTGCCAAGTTCTGCTTGGGTAGAAATGGTTATGAATGAAGCAAGCAGGGTTATTTTTCCCCTTAAATCCTGCTTTCTATCCATGGCAGCTGCCTGTGCTTCCTCTGTTCTTGTAAAAACACCCACAGGTTTCTCCGGGAGCATCTATGTCCCTTCTCCTTGGTAAGAGAGACAGATGGAGCTGAGAGATGTGTCCTCCACTACCTTCAGAAACAGGTCAAATCAAATGGGTATCGGGCATCATTTGCTTCCCCAAGCTTTGGAGCAACTTCTTCAGCTTTCTTTTTTTCCTCCTATTCCTTAGACATGGCTATGGTAGGACAGTCAAGCCGTATGCTGCAGGGAGGCAGGCTGGGCTCCTCTTCAGCACCACTCAGAAAGGTCAAACAAATTCAATAAAACTGCATTTGGGTGTTAAAACATTTTTTTGACAGTTCAGCCAATGCTCTTGCTTTAAGAGTTCTTCTGGTGATGGTGGGGGATTCGCTGTGACATTTGACTGCTGTGCCTCCAGGGATCACAAGCCCCAGCTGTAGTCAGTGGCAACCCACAGCCACAGAAAATACCTTGCTGAGGCTGGATGCCTTGTTATTTCCAGCTGCACTCGTAACCCATCCATCCTGCTGCTGCTGCTTAGATCCAAAATGCCACTTCGTGCTCAACAGCCCTAAATCCTGGCCACTGCTTGAAGCGGGAGCACTGGCTCCTTGACCAGCATGCATTGGCAGGCTCCAGCTGGCTCCAGTCAGGTGATGCCAATGCAATTTGCTGCAGTTTGAGACCTCTTCCCACCCCTCCAGCATCTTTCCATGCCAGACAAAAGGGCGAGGCGCTGCATCTGCCAGTGCTGCAGAGGGAAGGTGTGGCCTGGGGCCAGCCTGTCCCTTTTGCTTATGGGACTGGAGCCGCTGTGAGAGGGAGGGTGTCCTTACAGGGGCCACAGAGCACCCACTCGAGCCCAGTGGGATCAGACATGGAGGCAGGCAAGTGTTTTCTGGAATGCTGAAGGCTGCCTTGGTCAGGGGAAGAGCTGTGGTTTGTGTCAGTCCTAGGGCAGGTTGGTTGTGGTCATAAGCTGTGCCCCAAAGAAAATATATGAAGGGAAGTTTAAATTTAGAGGGCCCGGTTGGCTCTAGATTTGGGAGGCTGTCCTGCTTTCGGCTGGGACAGAGTTAATTTCCTTCCCAGTAGCTGGTACAGTGCTGTGTTTTGGATTTAGTATGAGAATAATGTTGATAACACACCGATTTAGTTGTTGTTGCTAAGCAGTGCTTACACCAGTCAAGGACTTTTCAGCTTCCCATGCTCTACCGACTGAGAAGGCTGGAGGTGCACAAGA